AAGTTACGTGTGTAGTGAATTTGAAATATTAATTGAAATATTAATAACATTCCTGCATTCGAAACGCAGAGTATTGCCTTTCATAAACGCCATTTACAAAATTTCTTTTATATACATACATACATTATATTTTTCCGGTTATAAATCTGATGATACGTTACAGTTATAACCGAAACTATGACCTTTTATATACATACTTTATATACATACACATATGTATGTGAAGCGGGATTGCCTCTCAAGCAATTCGCTTAAAAAAACAACAACCATTTTACTATTTTTAGACTCATGCATTGCTAGCAAGTATAGTAGTATGGGATGCCTTAATTTGTATTTCTCTCAACGACTACAATTTCATACTTTTAAATGTTCCAAAGGCAACTAAAGTAATGGTGGCACTTTTTCACTACTGAAATTAAAGTAAGTCGATCATTTCATATCCGGTAGGAATTTTGGGAAATTTTTCGGGTTGATTGTCAAGTTGCGCATGTAATGTAAAAAAATCTTCGAAAAAAAATAAATTGCTGTCACTTAATCAAATGGCCTTAGAGGACACTACCGGTATATTTGATTTTTTGAGAATTTCCTGGGTCACCATAAACAAAACAAAGAAGTCGAAGCGCTGTGTCAACTTATCACAAATATCGGCTTCCACACTTGGAAAGTTCACCACTCTACCATTGCTTTCATAGGCAAATTTTAAGCTCAACGTTACATCAAGAACCTGCTTGGCCAATATGAGGTCGATGTTTGGTAATAGTTCTTGCTATAAGCCCGTCATTCGACGTGCTCAAACTGAATAGATAATTATGATATTATTTTCAATATGGAAATTGTGCTTTTATCAAATCTTCCCCTGATTATACTTACACCCTTAACAGCTTCGGTAATAATATAAATAGTAATATAGAAAATCCCACTAAAAAAATTTATTTATTTTGACTCTGCATTTCGGATCGTTTGCGCGCATTCGGTATCAGCGATCATTAGTCAGGCGAGTAAATAGTAAAAATCCAACCCACTTTATATGAACTCATGAGTAAATTACATTTAACACTGTTAAATAACAGTCGAAAATTGCATTATTATGTTAATTAAAGTATTTATCTTGCAAAAACTTTAAATGTAATTATGCTAACGTACATATTGTAATCAAAAATGAAATTGACAACTGCCGTAAACGGATGGGTTAAATGCGTTGCTACTACCAGGTGGATGGTGGGCTCCTGCTTTGTTTGTGTAACATCACGAGGATATCTATACATACAAACATAAGCTCGAACAAATATACGATTGAAACTATTTAACTTAGTCTTTTAATATTTAAGTGGACAATATCAACAATAATGTAGCCTCTATCTTCACTTTTATACAAGAAATAACGTTAATCTCGGCTGCAAGTGAAACTATATTACCCTTCATAGATGCATTTTTATGGCACAAAATATTATAAAAATATTTGTGTCTTAATTTTCATATATAGTAGATATAGTAGACAGATCTGTACAATTTCTTCGTAGTTTATATCGTTGCTTTAGACAATAATCGACGCCCAATTTCATGGCGTTATTTCTCAAATAAAAAAGTCGGCTCAGTCAACCTTGAAATCCTCAAACACATTTTCCACCTGTGAGATGTAAATGAAATGTAATTCTTATTCATATTTTGTTTACAATTTTATTGTTGGGGAGCATGACAATTAGTACAAAATATTACTGACGCATTTTGCTCGGAATCATGGCGCAGAGACGTCTTGAGAAATTGTCTGCGAAGTATAGCAAAAAGATTCTTCATAACTTGCCCATATATTTGAGCATTCATTGTAACACATAAAAGGTGCAAAGAGTCACGAGTGTAATATGAAAAACAAACCCAGATCATCTGACTTTGAGAGTTTTGACAAAAAAAATTTTCTTCACATCGTTCTCTAGCAAAGCAGCTCACATAATGCTATTAGTCGGCATCATCCAGATTGAACTTCCTTTCGTCTGATCACAAATCGTTTCACCATTGCTCAAGTGTCTAGTTCTCGTACTGTTTCCACACTTATTCTCACTCCTTAAAATGTTTTCAGCCCTGCACGTATCGAAAAAAGAACTGTTGAATCGATCCTTAACACTTATCGTGTATGCCATTAATCCTCTAGATAGCAGCACGTTTTGGACAAGATACTTTTTTTCGCCCAGGTTCTTTAAAGTAACCCTTTTTTGCAAAAAACGTAACACAGTTGAATGTTAACAGCCCATTCTTTTAGTAATGGTCCTATAAGGAAGACCTTGCTTCACCAACGCATAAATAGAAATTAATTTCTACGATAATTTCTAGTTGAACTTAGATATTCCAAAAGTATTTGCGTTTAATATTACGAAGTTCTTGCAAAGTTTTTCCTCTAGTAATCTAATTTACCTACACAGTTTCACAAATTATAAAACTAATCTAACAGTAACTACCAAAATATTATGCTGGACCGAATATATTCATCGTTCATCTAAAATGTTGCTCAATTTTAGGCGCATAAATTGAGTAGATGCATCTTCAGCTATGTATGTATGTGTTAAAGTTAATTATTCCGAACTTGATGACGTCAGCAGATAAGGCGCAAAGCATAACCACTAATCAAATGCCGATATATGCAAATGGCATTCGGTGATCGCCGACAACCGTGACGCGTTCACAAGTTGAAGTCTAGTATTTGTAACAGTGCTTTGAGGTCGTAAAAGACAATATTCACATTCTTATTTTGCAATATTTGTCTGAAAGCGCTGTAAACGAAATGAGATATTATTCGATGTCAATTCGTATAATATGAAATACAATATACGGATATTGTGTAATTGGAGAACAATTTGGGAATTCATAATGACTGATTTTGTCGACTGTAACTGAGTATATAGTAGATAAATCAATTATTGCATTGAAAGGTATTTACGTTATAGGTAATTAAAATGTACTTCGAGGTATTCAAAATCGATATACTTTATTGCATTCATAATTATCATATTTTGGCATATCTTTTTGAGTTTCATATGTATTCGTATATTATAAATACGCAGAAGCTTTGTTGAATTATATTCCCTTTTATATGAAATATTTTGAGAATCTGATATCGCCATTTCGGTTAAATGTAGACAAAGTTTAATTTAATTTTTTTTAGAAAATTAGGTCCAATTTTCAGTTGTGAGAATATATGTGCTGAAGCAGCTTTCAAAAGCATATATACTTCCAGGGAAGATAACAGTTGAATTCGGGTGCGTAACGATACATTTCTTATCATACATGATCTTGCCTTTAATTTAAGTGCTGAACTTATCATCTGCTGGCAGTTCATAGGAATGGATGTAGGAACATCATTGGAAAGCTCACTGGTCACAGTCTAGTGGCGCATCGAAATCGATAATCGCTGCAACAAATGCCAAGAGCACGACACCAAAAAAACTGACAGATGACACTTTAGGCTTAGTAAAGAGGGAGCGTTACATGCTAGAGGAACGTGTCTTCGTTATTGAACAATATTTCATAAGTAACGAAAACTTTGCGGGCACAGTTCGAAATACTTCCAATCCGGTCAATTTTTGCTGTGGACTTTCGGTTTGAGACATAATTAAGTAGACTTGTTTGAATATGAGGTGTTTTAACACCACTCCTTGTGGACCTATTAACCTACTAACTGAACTCCATCTGGTATCGCAAAGGACCAAAACTGGTCTATACGTGGCGCCTTTTCCACAAAACTCTTAAATTATATGTGAAACACGCAAATACTGAAGTTTCTGGATTTTTTATTCTTATTTATATAAACTTACCGTACTATGTCACTGTATTTGATCTTAAATTTAAAATAATAAGGAGGAAACTGTATTTTGAAAAAAATAGAAGAAATCGAGTAAAAATTCCTGTGGAAGTCTTCCCTTTCTCTGCTACCCACGACGTCAAATAGCTGGAGTGTTTTCCTTCAATGCCGTCGTTAATCTCATACAGATCATTGTTTCATCTACTGCGCTACTCGTCGTTGCTAATGCGCAAAGAACCATAAATTTTCCGCAGAATTTTTCACTCGAAAACTCGTTACGCCGACTCATTATTTGTTGTCATCTTCCATGCCTCTGCACTATATAGCAGAACGGGAATGATAGTAGAACCTGCTAGCATGAGTTATTGTTGTTAATACTGGTTGCAAGACGGACGAAATTTTCTTTGACTTCGAAATTATGAATATCAACAGTGACGCGGGAGCCAAGTCGCGAGTATGACGACTGTTTGTTTGAAGACAAAAGATATTTCGTCTTGCCTTCGTTCACCACTGGAGCCATTTGCTTCGCTTCTTTGTCCCACCTAGAGAGAGCAGAATTAAAAGCGCGGTTGTTATAGCCAATGATTTCGATGTTTCAACTTCATTAGTTTGTATTTATTGGGTTAAGCCATACAAACCACTAATAATCTCGTTGAGGTGTCTCGGATGCACATCTAAACAAGTACCAATATTATTTCCCTCTTATGTTACCAAAAAAGCCATTCATATTTTATCAAATTTGTACATTTTTATTTAATCTGTACATATAGCTGTTGCGGTTCTAAGGAAGTATTTAACAGAACATAAAAACTAAAAAACAAAAACTAATAAAACAAGTATGTTAAAACTAGTCAACAGTTAATCACGACATTCGCTAGAAATCACTCGTGTAGCTTAGAACCTTCTGCCGGGTGGCAAATACGATTGTGCTTGTGGTGGAATGTAAGTGTTGGCGGGAGCAGCGGGTGCGGGTGCGGCTGCGGCCAATGGAGCTGGAGCTGGAGCTGGAGCTGGAGCGGCAACTGGAGCTGGAGCTGGTTTGCTGGCGAAGTCCAAAACAGGCGCTGAACCGGCATTGTGATTGCTTGAAGCGCCGGGCAACGAGTCGTATTGAGACTGAATGGCGCGTTGTGCATTCTCAGCATCGGCTTGGGTGCGGTACTTGACAAAGTGTACTTCGGGTTTGCTGCCAGTGCTCTGTACCGAGTTCAATTTGTTGGCCAAATCACCGATGTCAGCTTGCTTGGTCAACACATAGATGGCAGTGCGTTCTTCGCTAGCAGATTTAGCCAATTGCAAAGCAGCGTTCTCGAGTCCGGTATTCTCGGGTCCCTTAACGAAGATGACGCGCAAGTTCTTCTTTAATGAATTGTCGATGTTGTCAGCGGAGCCGGCATCATTGAATTCATGTTCGGGTGCTGAGTAAGTGTAGTATTCCTTATTAAATTCGCTGACTGGCTGAATGGGTTGGGAGAGTTGAGCGGCACCCACTTGTGGCTGAATGGGTTGGGAGAGTTGAGCAGCACCCACTTGTGGCTGAATGGGTTGGGAGAGTTGAGCAGCACCCACTTGTGGCTGGATATTGGGGGCATATTCGTATTGAGCCGCAGCGACAGCAATCAGACAAAGCACCTGCAAGTGATGGGAGGGAAAGTGTGTCAATATTAATATTTCTGATTTTTTTAAAGTAATTATTAGAATATGTGAGTTTAATATTTAATTTTTTGCTTGACTACTCACCACAATCACACGCATTTTGTTGTTTGTAGAGAAGGTTTTGGCACGGAGCGTTTATTACTGAATGAGTATCGAACTGTTTATGTCCTAACAAAGCCACACACGCGCTATTTATACTCGATCAGCTACGCACCGATGCTGAAATATGCCGTCGTCGTCGCGCTACGCACTACAACAACACCATCAACACCGCCAACACATGTTGCGCCTAATTGCAGCTGCTTCCAGGGCAAAACTTGTTCCATCTATTAAATTAATTATATTCAGCCTATGATGGTACGTATATGTGTCACCAACAAAGTTAATGGTGCATATTTTACTTCTTTTTCTTTATACCAGAGGGTCGAATACAAAGCTGCATGTAAAATATTGTCACAATTAAGACCACAGGCTGGTAACTAATGCTCCATGTGGTCAACGCGCTTCTTTGAGGCATCGAAATCCAAAATCGCTGCAGGTTAAAACTGGAAATTTTGAATAGCACAATTCAATGCGTTTCCAAAAATAGAAAATATGTATTTAAAAAAAGTTTAAATATTAAAATATATTTATATATTTAAAAAACTCGAACAGCATTTACATTCATAGCTGAGCACTAGCATAGCAACCAAAAATGCATAATTGTTTATATACATATTTATGAACATAGACACAGATTTACACCTACAAGACCATTTCCAAAGTTCGACAAAAGAGATGCAAAAATGCATTGCATTTTCATGGGCTTTCTGCAATTTTAATAGCTCCACTATTTCATTGTTTCAATGTTGTTGGTATACATATTTACTTTGCATGTGTGGATGTGTGCGTGCTGCCATTTGGAGATATTTCTTCGGCACATTGCTTTCTGCTTCTTCCGCTTTGCCAAACAGTTTCAACCAATAGCGAGTTGGCGCTGCTTTCTCTGTTAATTTGGCTATGTTTTTGCAAAGTCGCTATTTTGTAGATCCTAAAACTATGCTTCGATTTTAGTTTTTGCAAATGTTCAATCTTACTTGAATATATTCGATACAGTGACAATTGTTGGGGCTATACCGAACTCAATGTGTCAATGTCAATTCACCTACTTCCCCTACAACTCCAATTTTTCCAAAAATTCTAAGAATTATTCCGGAATCTTTAGAGCTAGAAATACAAAAATATCACGAAACGAGTTCGTTAACACGTGCCAGTCCCCGGAGTACCAAACATTATTCATACGTTAAGATCAAACTTGACGCAGATGTGTTCATTTAAACTGCACACGGTTACCTAATCAACAAAAATTTTATTTCTAGATTGACACAACTTTCATTTGAAAGTTGGTGTGTTTACGGCGTGAGAAATTTGTCTGCATTTTTACTGTGGTAAAAATTGAAATTTTGCTAAAATTTTCTGTTTCCAATGGAATCACGCTTACGGAAAATAATTCACAAGTATTTTTTGGAGTCCATTTTGTCACGAATATCAGTATTGGACAGGCACAAAGCCTTCAGTAAAAGACATAAAATAAGAAAACTTGCTTTTCACGCGTTGTCCGTCCACCTCTGTTAACGACGATAACATTGAAGAAGTTAAGTAAACAGTGCTTGATGCTCTGCTGTCTCACTAGCATGACTTGTAGATCAACGAGGTCGTTGAGAGATCGAAAAAGAGCTGCTGTTCAACGCAACTGTAGACCATTCATCAAACGCATAATTATTGGTGACGAGACGTAGACTTATGAATATGATGACAAAACTGCCCAACAATCTAGCAAGCGGTGCTCCAAAAATGAGCCGAAACCGAAAAAACATAAATTCGCTGAAGACACTGAAATCCCAATCAAGGATTACCAAAATTCTCATTCGAGATCAGGTGACGAAAAAAAATGCAAAGAAAAAAGAAAAAGAAAAAAAGAACAAGTATATTTTTTTTTTTTTTTAATTCATTGTAAATGGTATTGGGTATTGCCCGAATTCCCATAAAACGAACACACGGCTATGCAGAGAAGCTTTTTAAACGTTCTGCTTCACTTTCATTAATGCTTTGAAATTCGGTTGTGTGCTTAAATCGTGTTTTCATTTAGAAGCAGTAGCTTAAGAGATGACCGTGCTAACTTATGGTAAAATCGCGGCTGAGATGGAGGCAAAGTTGTAGAAATCATTTAGAAAATATATTTTTATTCGAACACTTAAAAATCGGCTTAACCAGATGGGAGTTCTACGAAGAAAATCTGTAAAAAAGCAAATCGTGACAAGAAAAATGAAAGAAAAGTGGTTAAGTGCCCTTTAACCGTTAACCTTATTGTAACTGATGGCTATCAAGCAGTTCGAAGCAGGCATGGTGAAGGATTCGCGTAAAACGCATTATTCCTAATGTAAAACATGTGTGTCGCTGTTTCCAGCAGAACTACGCCAAAAATTGCATGTTTTATTAGACTTATTGATAACATCAGCTTTTTGAGGCATGGTGTTAAATACTTGGTATGGCATTAATTGCCTTCATAACAAAATAATTTGAATTTCTTTTGTAGAACTTTTCGACTTTCCATAAAATGTAAAGGCCTTTCTATAAAAGTTTAAATTACAGAAACCAACAGATTATTTTGAAAACAAATTCACTAAACATTTGTCGGAAAATGAGAACTTTACTATACACACCAATTAGGATTGTTAATAAATGGGCTTAGTAGCAATTAAGAGACAAACAATTAAAAGTAAAGTTATAAACAAGCTATTTAGGCCTTAAGACGTAGATATTTTTTCAATACTCCATAAATCGTTGTCAAGCAGACTTACACATTTGTAAATAGTACCTCACACTTCTATTGATATCATTAGGATCATATTTAAATATTACAAATGGTTGGCAAACCCAGCATATTTTAATTTCTCTCATAACTAATCAAGCGGTGATTAATTGCATTTAATGAGCTCAGACTTATTTTTTCGGCATCTACTCATTTGAATTTCACTTAAGGCAGCGTTGTGTGGAATTTTCCGAATAACACCGTAAATACTTGCAACTGGTGTATAACATTTCGCAAACAACAATGAAACACAAATAATCAGGTAGGTACAAGAAAAGATTCAAATTGAGACTCATTATTTGGGTTAAAGATGGATTAGCGCTTGTATCAAACGGGTTCTATATCATAAATTAATTGCTTAATAAACTACTAATGACAGCCATGATGAGAAATGGTGAAAAAACCTTAGCATGCCGACTATAGTAGCCACTGAAACTCACATGAACGTGTATTATGACTAATGATCGGTGGCAGAGACAATAGATTTCTGTGTGGACTCATCAGCTGTTAGAAGTAAAGTTCAGCACAAAGCTAGGAAATCTGTATAGAATTTCACGACACATAATTAAAAGCATTAAAAAAGAGTTATTTTATTTTAATATGAAGGACAAGAGTTTTGAAATAAAATGACCATTATGTGAATAAACAAAAACTGGGCCCAAATCCGTCAATGCTTTTCATGTTTGTATATGCTTAGCTAACTTAGAGTCATTATTACATAATTACGCTAATCATCATAAACTGTTAAAATTGCTTATTTTCCGCTGGCAGCTTAGACAATTAACTACACTAAATGAGCGCCAGGTATTATGTCACTTAAAACAGAAAACGATTTTTACTGCGGTTGCACCGAAGCTGGAATACCCTTCACAGATAAAAAAAAAAAAAAAATTGCATAAAACAACACGATTTGAATCTTTCGTTTAGTATGACAGCTCTGTGCTACTTACGAGTATTTTGTACTGTTTAATCATTCATCAAAATATATAATATATAATTTTCAACTGAAAAAAAAAACTTTCGCAAATGCAAAAAATGCTTATAAAACAATATCCAGTCTTCTTATCTTTAGCGACCCCGACGGGCTCCGAATAAGTGCACGAGGTTTAACGAGGCCCTCAAACAACCCACCGGTCAAATCAACTCGTTCCACAGGGTTTCCGACGTTTCCTTCTAGCTGTCATGAACTTCGTGGCAAACTTAATATACCCCGTTCAGGGTATAAAAATTAAAGAATGGCGTATCTATTTTCATGTTAAACACCAACATACATATGTACAGATGTGTATACATACATACATATGTATATAAGATATCATTATAAAATTAATTTTACATCACACAACTATTTTTATGACTTCAATAAACAAAACAAATTTTACGCTACCAAACTACACACTGAAAGCGACAAACAAAGAGTCTCCCAAATAATGGCGAACAAAATCAAAAGGAAATCGAAACACAAAAGATGAAACAAAGACATTAAACCAACCTGACATATGTATATATGTATATATAAAACTATGGCTACGTAAGGGAAGTAGCTGAAGATCACCAAACTGAAAGACGATTAGTTGGAAAGCAAAACATTAGTTTTACTGGATTATCGACAAAGGGATTGACGATATTGTAATCAGAAACTAATCCTATGAAGTGTATGATCGAATGTCATTTAATAAAAATTTTGGTATAAAACATTATCATTACAAATATGCTCATTATAATTAGAAATGTATCAGATACTTAAAAAATCGATAAAGAGATGTTTGAGAAAGAAAAGTCACCACCTAACCGTCTTTATCTTAAGTTCCTTTTACTTGCACTCAAACACACAAATATCTAAGTTCAAGGAAAAAGATGCACCGCTCCGAAGTTATGAGTCTTACTACTAAGTGCGCAACTCTCTGCTCTTTTATTGTTCTCTCTGCTCTTTTATTGTAAGAAAATTAATTATTCGAAGACTTCTTCATCATTAGTCACAGTTTTTTTCTATCTTCTGACAAAGCTCGTATACTCGTATATGATATCTAAGAATCAAGACGTTTTTTTTTTTCGCTGTCTTTTGAATAGAACTGCTTGGACTGGCTCAGAGTCCAAGACGGTATAATAATTGGGGAGTATGGCGGATGGAGTTGGATTTCTAATCAAAGTATTTCCAAGTTGTTTTTATCGGGTTTGGCAAAGTAAGGCCAAGCTTTGTAATGCAGCTGAGTCCCTTCATGCTTCTAATGGTACTGCGACCAGTTTTTCGCGTAGTGCTCATCCTTCCTAGCGCTTTAAAATGGTTTAAAGGGTAACTTCA